TCCGGAGTTGGGGGGGGGTGGTATTTATACACATGCTGTGCAGGGGTATTCATTCAAACAGAGAACAGCGTGCTGTATTCTTTTTAACTCTTTTACCTGAGGTGTTGCGTGTGTGACTGGAGACCAGAGCTTCTGCTCAGTGGTATCACTTCCAGATCTTGAAGTCTGTCTGCTGTGGGCAAGTCGGATTAGAAAAATAATATTGTGGGGGAAGGGAAGGGAGCAGAGGAAGAGGAACAAAGACAGCCAAGTAGCAGTTTCCCTCTCCTGAAGGGAAGAGGCTTAAAAGAAGTGAAACAGTGTTCCTATCTTTAGTTCTGAATGGCAGTGCTCCCTCAAACTTAGGGTCTGGGTGTCTTAAGCAGCTGTTGTTTGCTGTCCAGGACAGAGGAAGCAAAGGGGGTTATGTCTGAGGTGCTTACGCTGGCATTGTAATACAGATCTATCATCGAGAAGGTAGAGGGACTACAGCAGGTAGAAGGCTGCTTTGGATGAGCAGGTGAACGTGGCCATGGTGGGTGGAAGCAGAGTGTCTTTGCTCACCTGCTATGAAAACAAAACCTAAAAAAACCCAAAATAAACCACAAAATTTAGTGGCTAATAATTGAAGAATCATGCAGAAAGATGAGAAAATAAACAAAGCCAAGAACATTACACTCGGAAACACAACTGAGAGAAATACGTTCTGCACCTGAAGACAGCACTGAGCAGAGCATGTTCTGTAATGGGCCACAAAGTGGCACCGCCTGTGGAAGGAGAAAGTTCTAAGAGAAGCGTAGCAGCACTGCTGGCATCCCTGCCTGTGGTACCCCATACAATGTCCAGATGCAGCAAACACTACATAGTACATAATGGTTCTTTTAAAACATGTGACACAGTTTTTTGCGCCTTCTCCGAAATTTCAAGTTTGGCATTTTGAATGTTTTCACCCAAGTCTGTAGGTTCGGTATTGACAGGCGCTCGTGATGCCCTATGTTTTTATCTGCATCCAAAAGTAACATTGACAAACCGTGGTGTGATGCAGTCACCGGATGAAAAGTGTAATTGCTCGTGGAATGTAGTTAGAACAGGCATTTAGCTGCTGTGATAATAAGCACCGTACAGTCAACAAAATGGTATAGCCACGCTCTGTGTGCTTTTCAGACTGTACAGAATACACGTGTGAATTGAGACAGAAATAGCAGCTTTAGTTATAGCTACAGTACAGATGATTCAGACAGGTGACTGAGGAAGACTTTCAGGGTTGCCTAAGCTGGCATCTTAGGTTGATCTTATAGGGACTTCAGATATAATGCACCGGCACAGAAGGGTGTTTTACTGGTCCAGGGAAGTGGCATGTGGTGGTAACCACTGTGAGTCCCCCTAATGCTGGGTGTTTTGAGTTCAAGTCCTGCTGTTGGCCAGCTTAAGTGTACTGCTGCATCAGTACTGTCGTGCAATAAGCCTACCATTAGAACGTTTGAAGTTCAGGCTTCCCGAGTACCTTGGGACCAATAGGAAACTGTTTTAAATGCACTTTTTCAAAAAGTAAATATAAATGCAGACAATTTTTATTAGATTAATGAATTACTAACCTTGTAGAACAGTTTTTGGTTACTTATTGATGACTGATGGGGATTTTACCCAATGTACGTATGCATGCCTCCATCAGTACCCCAAATTCTTAAATGTTGGATGAACATGGCAGTTCATGAGATGTTTTGCCCTTCTTCATGCTCAAGTGAATGAACGAGCTTTCTCCCAGGAGCCGGGGCGCAGCTCCGTGCTGATGTGACTCAAGAATCTGCAGATACAGAACCAGCTCGGGGACCGGCTCCTTAATCACCTTCATCTGATTGAACAGCAGGCTGCTGCCAAAAGGAGTGGCAGCATCCTGCCCGGTGCCTCGGGCGCTGTATTCCACCTGCGGTTCAGTTGCTGGGCAGCAAACTACAGGATTTCACCTCTGTATCTCTGCGTTTGGGAAGGGCTGATGTAAGGAGTTAATGAAAGTTGTCCTAAGTAGAAATTCCTGCTACGTTTATCTTCAGTTTATACTGCTGTTCTTGAGCTCTGCCACGATCGTTTAGTTCATTCAAATCTGTATTTGTTACAGATAATATTACAGCTGTTCTAGCTCATTCTTGAGTTTGACGTGCCAATGATAAATTCTGTAAAAATGGGACTTCGGCTGTGGTTGACAAGGTTACTTTCCTTAATGGCAAGTTCAGATGTTACGTCTTTGCTTCCATATGTGTTGTTGACTTCTATACATCTCAATTTACCATCCCACAAAAAAATACTGGAAGTTAAGTGTGGACACTGGGAGTCTTTTAATGAAGATCTTGATGATTCGGTTAAGTGTGGACACTTCTTTTAATGAAGATCTTGATGATTCTGGGAAATTTAGAAAGCAGTTGGGAGCATGAAGCATGCCTAGATTGCGCAGCTCCTCGAGGCACTCTTCTTTATGGCCTCACCATGTTTCCCAAGTAGGTGTTTCGTTGGGAGCGTGAAGCATGCCTAGATTGCGCAACTCCTCGAGGCACTCTTCTTTATGGCCTCACCATGTTTCCCCATACAGCTACCAAGAAAAATCTTACGTTGTAGAATACTTGGAATAGATCCTAATGGGATTCAAATCACATTTAAATATTATAAAATGTCAAGGATGAAATATAATGAGAATTAGAGGAACAGTCGGATTAGCTGATACACTGCTTTGACCCAGGAGAACATGGTGCTGTAAGTTTATAGCGAAAAGGTTACTCCAGTCTTTGAGATGGTAAAAGTTATTTTGGACATTTAACGTCTGTTTTGAGGATTTGTAAGTGATCCAAAGCTCCCTGGTCCTGACACTGGGAAGTGTTTGCTGGTTCCTGAAATCGGCGTCCGTACAGATTAAGTTTCACCCCCCGTTCCTGGTTGTGTACAGAAGGCAGCGGAATGGCTTGAGGTGCGTGTTGTAACCAAACAGAACGCAGAGTAAGCGGCAAAGGTCCCCGTTCTTTCCCCTTTATGTCATGCGGTGGGACAAGTTGGACAGTCTCCCCGCGGGAGAGCAGGTGGTGGCCTTCTGGCGTTGACATCGAGGTATTAGTCTGAGGTTCTGCTGAAAGAGACACCGAGCTCTGCCTCTCCGTGCGGGAAGAGAGAGAGAGATACTGCTCGGGAATGGATTGGTATTAAAATGATGTCCTTCTTGCCTCTTTCTTTGCACATGAGAACATCATTTCTTTGTTGTACAGAGCAGGCCCTTTGTCCTAGATCAGCGCAGGCCGAAAAGTGAAAAGTGAATCGTCGGTGCCGCTTCAGCAGCGTAGGCAGGACGGGCTCTGCTGCCGTGAGGCCTTCGCTGGGTGAAGGGACACGGGGCCTTGTTGAGGCACCTCGGCCTGGGACGCAGCCTTAACTTTAAATGTCACTTTCAGATAAAGAGTTCCCTGGGAGTTTTAAAGCAGAAGGAAAGTTTTTCCATTATAAACTGCCTCTTCCTCAACCCGGGGCCCTAGAAGGAATGGCGGGCTTTGGCAGCGGTAGCATGGTTTGACTAGGAACTTGCGTATAACTGGGCTTGTAATTGTTGTTCTTTATGTTCTAGCCACTCTTTGAAAAGCAGTATGTTTTGATAAGCAAAGACTTTCCTGCATAGTGTCCATTTTTACCACAGTCTGAGAGTATATATGCTGAATATAACAAAATAGCTGAGATCCTGTCTGAAAGTGGGAATGATCACGGGGATGCTGTCATGTGCTGGTGGGAGGAGGGTTCTGAGCACAGCTCCGCTCTAGGAGAACACTTTTACTCCACTATTTGTTTTTCAAAACAAGAGAATAAACATAGTCTGGAGGAGCAATGTTGAATGAAGAATCTGCTCAAAGAAACAAATATGTTTGAATTGATAATGCTGAAGAACTGTACGAGGGTCAGGGTTTTTGTTACGCTCTTCTAACGCTGCTTTTTTGTTAGAGACTGTTTATACAAGGGTAGGGATCTTGCAGGATCAAGCAAGACAGTAAGAAAGCAGCATCTCTGAAAACAATGTAGCTACATTAGATACTGAAGTTTGATACCATGGGTGATTTTTTTTTTTATTATTGTTCTTTATATAACATTGTGTTTTTATGAGTCTTTTGCAATAATTTTAGAGTAATATAATTACTGATGGTTTTGCTAAGGTGCTTGCTTTTCTACGATTAAGTTTTTCCTTACGTGGTTGAAAAATACAGGATTAAGCAGGATATGAGGCTCGAAAAAGTCTTTAGATGTACATCTAAAGTAGCAGTGGATCTATAGAAACTACTAAACTGGTAAAACTACTAATAGATAAATCGGACCAATTTCAACACGTGCCTTCGTTGAATTAATAGACAAGATATTTTGTTAGGCAACTCTGAGTTTGGCACAATTTTTAATTTGTTCTGTTGGGGAGGCCTGTGTCTTCCCTTTCTCTACTGCTGGCGCTGAGCTTGCTTGCTGTAATCCCTCTGCCACTAGATGTTGCTGTATGAGTGATTGATACAATCTTATCTGATGCTGGATGGATTAATCTCTTCAGGAAAGGAGGAGATATCGCTGGAACAGTATTACTGCCTCTTCTGAAATTAGTATTTTGAGACGATTGTCTGAGACATTTTTAGAATTTATTGGCTGTTACATTAGTCATAAAGATCGTTTCTCTCTTGTATACCCAGCAGTGAGCTAGTCATTATTTCTAATTAGGCAGGCTTTCTTTTCATGTGTCTGTAGAGCTCATGGTCTCAGTAGTGAGGAAAAAAGGCAATGAAATGTAACTCAGCCAAAAAGGTTTTTGCACGAACTCTGTTGTGTAGCATCTGTGGCTTTTCATTCGATGAAAGATGGCAAGGGAGGAAAATTGCTGTATGTTCTAGCATAAGGAATAATCACTTTTCAGGGGAATTTTTGCCTCTAGTTCGCTTTAGCTGTGTTTCAAGCACTACCTTTTTGGTGAAGGAATACTTACCTCCTTGGGGGTTTGCTGTGTTTATTCTACACAGAATCTCCAAATAGAAGAGCTCCATCAGGGTGAACTGAAGTTATCCTAAGGAAAATTTCATTGCATGGATTGTATAAACTCACTGAGACTGAAGTAAAGCTGGAAAGGGATCTACAAGTGAATAAAACAAGAAGTTTGGAATTGGATTTGGGGAATCTGGGCTTGGAAATGCCTCAGGTAAGTCTGTTACAATTACATTTGCTTCTATAAACAATTTTGCTTCCGTATTAAAAAAAAAGGACATTTATGAGCAAATTTAGCTGGCATTAGCAGGGAGAATTGAAGAGAGATTAAATGGTGCCTGTTTTTGAGGGTCTCGATAGTGTCTGGTGGAAGCTATGTTGCTGCTCTTGGCACTGTATTTGTTCACACAGCAAGATTCAGCAGAGTTGTCGCCTTGATGAGGGTGGATGCCTGGAGAGCAGCCTTTATTTCTGCAGTGATTCACACATCAGCACACTGAATGACTTTCAGCAGTACAGTGTTTCTCCCTTCCCAACCCTCGGGGCAAGTGTGTCTAAAAGAGAAATAGAGGTCTGGAATTAAATGTAGCAGAAAGCCTTGCTGCCCATTCCCTGCATGCCCAGTCACCCTGCATAATGTTTTTCTGCAAAGCTCCACTTTGTTCTTGAGCAATAGAACAGGCTTGATTTAGCTGTAATAAATTTTGCTGTTGTTACAATCTCAGGTGGAAGCTTTGCGTTCTAATGGTTCTAAAAACAGTCAACATTGCTTTAGCAGAAAATGGTTTGCTCTTGGAGTGAAGGCCCTGCAAGCGTGTAGTGCCTGTTGATACTCACAGGTCTGGCCAGTACTCGCTCTCCTCTTCCACAAATGCTAACATATCCCTAAACTTGGCAAACGCATGAGAATTTCAAACCAACAAAAAGAATGAATGAGCAATGCTCTTGCAGCTATATGATGAATACAAATGTGTCCTTTGATTCAAGAGCTGCATGTTGTTAGCTGCTCCTAAAGCATTCTCTCGCTCTGAGAAATGACATGCTTATCTGTGTAGGTAAAAACCTTCCAGATGCAAGTACAGCAAAAGTTCAGACTTGGTTGAAATAGCAGTACTGGCGATGTTTTGTTGAAGAAAATATGCCTTTTTATAGCATGCTTCAAATGTCAGTATCAATTCTGTTGTAGCCCAGTGTGAGTGGAATGGACCCTCCTTTCGGGGACGCCTTTCGGAGCCATGTGTTTTCAGAGCAGACTCTGATGAGCACGGATCTCTTGGCAAGCAGTTCAGATCCAGATTTCATGTATGAACTGGTAGGTCATCTTTCTGTGTGTGTACATAATTTACTCTCCTTGACTAATACCCTGAGTTCGTGTAGTAATGAAGGAGTATTTCTTCAAGAATGCTAGAAAATGAATACATTACTGCTAGCTGCTGATGAGGGAAGAGCCTAACTGCTTGTCCAGCAAATGAGATGCTTCCTCAATAGAGACCTGTTAAAGCTGGCCATAAGGAGAGACTTGATACACGAGTCTTAAATAGAGCTGTGTTGACATTATGTAGTGGTGCTTGAGACTCTTCCTTACAATCTTTTCTGCAAGAGCAGCTATATGCTACTTCACCCAAGCTGTGAGTGCAGGGGAAGCAAAACAAAAGTTGACTCATAAACTAGCTTTTGTTGGTGTGGGTTTTTTTTTTCACCTCCTCCATCAAAAGAAAAAGGTAGCTTCTAGTCATTAACTGATCGTGTTAGAATGATTTTTTTCCAGGGACTGGTAAACTTGAGCACATTCTGTTACGCGCACAGCAAAGGTTAATAGAGACTAGAACAGCTTGCCTGTGATGCCTTCCATATTTTAAATACATGGATATTGGTACTAGTCTAGTTCCTGATGGATGACCAGATGAATTTGCTAAAGTAGAAAAAGAATCCAGCGGCATTTGACTTGTATCTTTAGCAATCTCTTCAGGAGGATGTGCTGCTGAAGCACGGAAGCTGGATTTTGTCCTGACCCTCAAAAGAAGCTTTTAGCTGGAAGTTGAGGTATCTTCATATGTTACCATTCTTACACTTCGCTGGAATTAAGCTCACTGTGCAAGATCAAGCAGAGAACAGAGATGATTGATACCTTTTTTTGTATTAATGTTTAACTTGTCTTATTATGCACAGGATAGAGAAATGGACTATCAGCAAAGCTCCAGAGACAACTTACTTTCAATGGAGGACTGCAAAGACCTTGAGAGCTTGGAGTCTTTTACGGACATCCTGGACAAAGAAGCTGCTCTCACCTCAAAGTGGGAGCAGTGGGATACCTACTGTGAAGACTTAACTAAATACACTAAGTTAACCAGCTGTGACATCTGGGGAACAAAAGAGGTGGATTACCTGGGCCTTGATGACTTTTCAAGCCCTTACCAAGACGAAGAGGTCATAAGCAAAACACCGACACTGGCTCAGCTTAACAGTGAGGACTCCCAACCTGTTTCTGATTCGCTCTATTACCCTGATTTGCTCTTCAGTGTAAAACAAAATCCTCTAAATTCTTTGTTACCTGGCAAAAAAATCACAACCAGAGCAGCAGCTCCCGTCTGTTCCTCCAAGAACGTTCAGGCTGAGGCACCTTTGTCGGACTGTGTCCAGAAGGCAAGCAAACCCGCAACTCAGCCTGCTTCCAGTACGCAAATCATGGTGAAGACCAACTTGTATAATAGTGAAAAGGTGAACATTCATGTTGAATGTAAAGACTATGTTAAAAAGGCAAAAGTAAAGATCAATCCTTTACCACAGGGCAGACCAGTGCTGAGCCAGACGCATGCTGATGCAGCAAAGGAAAACACCTGCTATTGTGGTGCTGTAGCAAAGAGACAAGAAAGAAAAGGAATAGAGTCCCCGCATAGTCACAGTACGCCTCCTGTTTTGCCTTTTAAAGAGACTCAAGAACTGCTCCTCAGTCCACCCCAGGAAACCCCAGGACTTGTTGTGGGGGAGAGCAGTCTCTCTGCCAGCACATCAGTGTCAGATTCTTCACAGAAGAAAGAAGAGCACAACTATTCTCTTTTTGTAACAGACAGTTTGGGTGAACAGTCAGTCAAAGGCGACCCCGAGGAGGATGAGGATGATGAGGACGATATCGAAGATGAGGACCATGATGAAGGATTTGGCAGTGAGCACGAGCTGTCTGAAAACGATGATGAGGAAGAAGATTATGAGGATGATAAAGATGATGACATCAGCGATACTTTCTCAGAACCAGGTACCAGCAATGATGCGCTTTGCTAACGTGAAGGCTAACAGATTTGTCTGCCAAGTGGGAAAGAATGCTTTTGAATGCTTTATAGTTAAGATGAGCAACACTGATGTTAAATTATGAACTTTCATCCCAGATTTTTGAAGTGCTTTGCAAAATGTACTTAACAAAATCAATAGAAAAGTCTCTATTGCCCTGTTTTGAGAAAAACTGCGTTGAACTCTGGTCCTGCAACAAAAATCGTAATAGAGAATGCAGAAAACCTAGCTTGTAGCCGAAGGTTGTAGAGCAACTACCTGCAGTTGTCATTTTTTTTTGTGGCTTGATGCTAGGATGTGCAGAGCTTTCTAGTGCTTCAGTAGGTTGCTGCTTTGCACTTACCCAGAGTTGTATCTCTTGATAGCTGGTATGAAGTCATGGCCTGAGTGAAATAATGTCATAATTACTTAAGTCCTACTGTAGGTACAGTTTTCTGCAGAATCGAGATACCTACCTCTGAAACTAATAGAACCGTTTCTTGGTGGTTTTCAGCAGTAACACTTAGTGGGTCTTCAAGGGATACTGAATTCCTCTCTCCTGCATGTAGAAATGGAGCCTTAACAACAGAAATAAGAACTAACCTTCACCCAGAAGGTAACAAGGCGGTGACGTGTGAAAATAAAACCTGAAGGGGAAGCAACAGGACTGTAACAAGTGTTTGTTTCATTGCAGAAAGTATTATGATAGTCACACTTTATAAAATGCTTTGCGGTATAGTAGAAGACAAGGTATTCAGACATTTGGCAATATGCGGCTTCAGGAGGGAAAGCAGCTTAAATTTTGCCTTTTTAAAACCAGCAGTTTCCCTAAAGCTTGTCAGTGTTTATCATAATGAGCGCCCAGATTAAATGATTTTCTAAGTAGATTTCTTGAGCTGGCGTTAAATTTGTGAAGCATTGTGCCCTTCATGTTACTTTTACATGCACATAACACATTTTTATTAGCGTTTTAAAACCTCTTCCTCCCTTCTGCATTGAACTCCCTCCGCTTTCTGGGGCTTTGAGTAGCTCTTACAGCTCTGGCATGACTGCTGTGCCACACAGCGCTTTGCAGCCCACGGGGGCACGTTGCACAGAAAGCCTGGGAACCTTGCAAAAGAGACGTCCTGTTGAAAGGCTGGGATTTCAGCTGGTGGAATGACGTGAACTATTTGCCATTTGTTCAGTTCCACTGAGCAGCGGTCGCTCGGGCCTTCGCGACGTCGTGCCGTGCGGTCGCTGAGGAGCTTGGCTGATGCAAGCTTGCTGGAACTTTACGTGAATGAAGCCATTCACCTGGACTGTGGTGATTTATTAAAAGTTTCACCCGATGTTTTGGTTGTGTTAGAAGGTGGTGTCTTAATTTTGTTGCTCTTGTACTTCCTGTTGCTTTTTTACCCTTACAGTATAGGTAAATACTATGGATAAATTTCTAAAAATAGGCATAGCATGGGAAAATTGAACCTTCCATAGTTCTGAAACCACAATCAGTTGGTAAGTTCAGAGTGAAGATGTAGTTTACTGAAAGGGCAGAAACTTACTAGTTATTGCTGTCCCTCTGATGTATTTTATACACCATTTGCTTTTGTTTATTCTCCCCCGTGTATGTTTTTGGAGTGCATCAAATGCTTCTAAAGTGTTAGCATCACCTGGGGAAATACTCAGATACAGTGAACTTCAAGAACTGGGAGAAATAACTAAAAATGTGACTGGCTGTTGGCCAAGTTTCACCAACAGTGTTTTTATTATCACCATGCTACACATCTAGGAATTTTGGTCACCTGCAAAGGTAATTTATTATGGGAATTATCAGCCCAGACCTTTTGTAGCACTTAAAGGATTTTTTTTTTTTTGCCTTTACTAGTATATTTTACCAATTTAATTTAATAGAAATATTTGTAAATGCTTCTCCCATCAAGTAGTTAAGAGATTCCAGAAACGGGAGACGCAACAAGTGATTCACTTTTCAGTAGCACAGCAGAAAAAAGAGCTGAAAGGGAAAAATGCTTGCAGAGACATAGCGATTGTTTAAAGTTGCATCGCATCCACTCTGAGCACCTGGACCATCATCTGGGGGGAAAAAGACCCATAAATGGTTTGACAGAATTCAGTGTGATTAAATGGTAAAGAAAGGGGTTTTCTGACGTTGTTTTGGTGATGCTATTTTTGCTTTTAATCTGGCAAGATGCAGACATCATGTGTACCCTGTTCTCCGTGTTCCTAATTTAACACTGGTGAATTTAAACCTAAAACATTGTAAGGAATGTGAACGAAGATTTTTAGGAGGGACTTGTGAAGGGCTTGAAAGGTAAATAAAAGAACCCTTTCAGATTTCTTAGAAGCCCGCCAAAGAAAGTGTGACTGCTACACGTTCTTTCCTAAGAGGAGAATTCAAGGAAGATGGGTGCAGTGCAGGAAAACTGAACAGATCTGTTGTACTCCTGTGTGTTGCAGACTAGGGTAGGCCACTGTGCACTCAATTATTCTACGTAACTTTAAAATGATAGCAGGTCAATGTTAGATTTGCAGGGCAGGATGCATTAAGTCAACATAATTTTAGTTGCTAACTTAATTATAGTTTAAATAAGCAAACAGGAAGTCTTGATTTTAACCTTGTACATTTGTACACATCGGCTCTTAGAGATTTGTTTTCCTCAGCTGGCTTATTTCTGTGTTTTCATGAAGATGGGCTAAATTTATACATGTCAAGCTATGTAACTCATTATATAGATATGTTTTTTTCAAGTGGAAAGTAAGTGGGGTTTTTTAAGAGTGTTTTGATACTGATGTCAAACAGCATTTGGGTAAAATGGAAATACAGTTTAAAATATTTGTGGTATTCGAAACTATATTTAATGTAAATTGTCATCATTTTGGCTATAGAAGAAAAAATGTTTTATAAAGCGTGCTTCATTGTTTGCTTTGCCTTTAAAATACTGTCTTTTTAATAAACTAGAGAATCAAAGTAAATGAGTTGATGAAATTATTAGAAACAGAACTTTAGAATGATTTCCTCTTGCGCATCTAACTTTTATTCGTACTTTGGGTTAGGAGGTGAAAGTCAGACCAAAGCAAGAAAGTTTGGTTTTCCTCTTTCAACTTTTTTCAAGGTCAAACAGAGTAATTGAATGGACTGTTTTAAAAAGAAGAAAGCTTTCTTTGTGCCGCTGTTAAAAGACACAGCGGAGCTCAAGCTTAGAGAGTCAAGGCTTGTTAAGCTTGTGACGTTTTGAAATGCATTATTTTTTAAGTCGATGTAAACTGTTACATAGATTGTAGTGCACAAGGTGATGCAGTCGTTTGGATTTTTTTACTCTTAGTATATGTTGCCTTTTTCTAAAGCATGCATAGGATTTTTAAAACTGTGATGTATAAATATTTATGCAACGTGGATAGTGGCCTTACAGTTTCCGTGAACTTCATGAACGGTTCATCATATCAAGTGCATCATAATATACCTCTAAAATTCTGTGTAGCTTTACTGTGGATCCTTTCTCTTCATCCCACTAAAGAGGTGAGGAAGAGATTGAGCAGCTTGTGTCCGGATCCCTTCAGTTTGGATGCCCTTTTCTTAGGGGCTTTAGATCATTGTCCTGATAACAGACCCCCTGCCTCTAGTCTAATAGGGATGGGTGGTTTGATTGATTTCCTGGAGGCATTCAGACTGAAGGAACAGCAGGAGTTGAACTTGATGATCCTAATGGGCCCCTTCCAGTTCAGAATATTCCGACTGAATAATTTTGCTTTCTTTCTTAGTCCTTTGCTAATCCATCTTTATTATCTGCTTCTCTTTCCATGCTTTTTGATTTGAGATTAATCAGTATGTGGAGGCAAGTTAGGGTTATGTTCCTGCAGATTTCATGGAGAAAGTTGTAAGGAAGGACGGATACTCTCCAGCAGCCGTGTTCTGTGCTCTGCAGTGGTGGGGGATGCTGGGGCAGAGGAGCAATAGAGCTGTAAGGGGTCAGAGAACATAAAGGGGCTTTCAATGCAGAAATAATTTGTCTCTTTTCTACTAACGAAGCACCGTCACTGGCTCAGTTTCTGTCCCTGGATTTAAGGCAAGTACCCAGCAGTAGCTGACACTGAAAACCAAGTCTATCAGATAATGTAAAAAACCAGGCCTCGTCTGTGGTTTTGCTCATAACTTGAATACTCACTCCACTCTTTAAGGGCTAGAAGCAGTTTTGTCAACCTTATATAACCAATGCAATGCATCCTTTTAGGGTATGAAAATGATTCTGTGGAGGATTTAAAAGAAATGACTGCAATATCCTCTCGGAAAAGAGGCAAGCGAAGGTATTTCTGGGAGTACAGCGACCAACTAACACCGTCGCAACAAGAAAGAATGCTGAGGCCATCCGAGTGGGATCGAGATACATTACCAAGTAACATGTATCAGAAGAACGGTCTCCATCATGGTAAGAACGGTGTCGTAGTTACAAGTGAATGTCTTTCGTTCTGACATCTGCAGTAGCCAAACTCCCATACTTGCAGGTGCTGACAAGTCGTGTTTTGGCCATGAAAATCATTAAAACACTGTAGGTCTGTGGCTTAATTAGGAGAGTTCTGCACCGTGTCCAAGGGAACGTACAGTAGTAACTTGCAGTGTGGCTTCTCCCAGTGGGAGGTGGATGAATTGAGAATTGTAACTTCCAAGGGCTTTCGGTGGCAGCCCCAAGAGTTTGACATTTTCTCAGCGCGATGCTGCAAACATCGTGGGTGGGTCAGGTCACTTGGTGATACTTGGTGCCTCGTAGCTGTTAGCTTCAGTCCAGCTTGCGTTAGAAGTGATCAGAGAAGCAGAGTCCACGTTAACTGCGCTATGACCTCAAGGACTGGCAGTAAGGCATAACTGTCTCTTTTTGCTCCTCCCTACTTGTTTCTCCCACTTTGTGAATGCAGCACAGTGACACAGTTACTCTTCCATGAATAACCCATGTCTTTAGAATACCCTCTCAGAAACTTAAACCAATTGGTCTAGTAACTGTGTTTTATTCCCGTAACTTTTTGATTAGCAATTTGCTGTACTGCACACATGACTAACGTCACCCAGAGCAAACCACTCTTAGGAGTGATGGTTGTTTTCTTGTCACGGCATCTCTGTGGTAGGCTGCTCACCTTGATTTTGGCTTTGAAGGAGAAAATTAAGACAGCTTCCCTGGTTGTTATGTTAATGTTCCTTTACACTTGACAATTACTGTCTTTGACATGGCAGTTTACCTTCTGTGAAACCAAAAGATTTTGTTGTTACTTGTAGATTTATTCAGGAAAGAAAACTTGGGTTTAGATGGTTATTTATCCTGTAATGGAATATCAGTACCTAAAGTCCCTATCACTGCTCCTTCTTACGAAGGCTGAAGTCTGTACTTGTAACAACCACTAACCAAACAGGCCTTGAGGACTCGGCCCCACCAGACACTTGGAGGAGCAAGTGACCTTGAAGTCCGGTGTCTGTGCAAGGGACTTGTGGGATCAAACACGACTTAACATCCAGAAGCTACAGAATATAACACATGCAGGATTTTTTTTATTTTCACATACAGGTGTACACCAAGGTCATCTACTGCCTTAGATAAATAATGCTCAATTATCAGCTCCCTAACAAGTATTTCTGGAGCAGGTTTGTTAGATTTTAGTAACATTTTCATGCGAGTGTAACAACTGTGATTTTTAATGGAAATCTAGAAAAACACACATAGGAATGACAGAGAAGCTTAAAGAATAAAGGTTTTGTCTTGAATATATGTATTTCCTCAGGAAAACCAGGCCGTCAATAACTTCAGATGCATATAAAAGGGGTTAACTAGCCTTTGTGTGGATCATTTAAGTTCATTATCACTGAAGATTGTTTCAGTACCAGGCCTCGACACGCTTTTTTTAATACAGAACTTTAGCAATAAGATTATTTAAGAATTTAATGAGCTTGAATGTGCAGGAAGATACAGTGGCTGAACACATGAGTTAGCAAGTTGCAGCTGGGGCAGAACAACTGGGTTTGAACTTGTGACATAAGTTTTTCGGCACAGTGGTGTGTATACTGTCTATCACATCAGTAGTCTGGCCAGCAGTATTTGCTCTTATCTGATCTGAATATAATATGAATTGTACAAAGCAGTTTGTCTGGAAATGCTCTTTCTGTTGTGAAAGGCCATAGGGATCACATGATTCCAGTCTATTCTCTTGTAATAAACAAAGGAACTTAAACTGCAGCCAAAAAAATACATGTGTTTTCACAGGTTTGTGTACATATTGTGTCAATTCCCAACCCAATTTTCTGCATATTTCAAACAGGGAAATACGCAGCAAAGAAGTCACGGAGGACTGATGTAGAAGACCTGACTCCCAACCCCAGAAAACTTCTACAGATCGGTAATGAACTAAGGAAGCTGAATAAGGTGATCAGTGACCTGACACCAGTCAGTGAACTACCCCTAACGGCCAGACCGAGGTCAAGAAAAGAAAAGAACAAGCTGGCTTCCAGGTATACATTAGATAATGCTACACGGATGAGTAAATCTGGAATACAACAACTGGATGATTAAGATCTAACTAATTTTTACCTCGAGATCCTGCTTCATGCTGGTAGTTCCTGCAATGGCCTAATTACCAGTTTATCAAGAAGCACTTTGGAAGTGTAGTTTGCCTGTTCCCTAGATAACGATGCATTTCCACTGGAAGCTGGCTTACTTAGCTGCAGGGCAAATGATGGATAGAGTGATAAAGTCCACGGGCATGAAATGTAAGCAAATACAGGTAGCAGAGTGCTTTCAGTGAAGGTGAGAGTAGATAGATGATTTTGTACAACACAGCTCTGGGAGTATTGGTGGATAAATTCATGTGGCAAGCAAACAGATGCTCTTAGTATTCTGGAATTTTTGTTAGTGTTCTAATTCTTCCCCTCTTCTTACTATAGGGCTTGTAGACTAAAAAAGAAAGCCCAGTATGAAGCCAATAAAGTAAAACTCTGGGGTCTCAACACGGAATATGGTAAATACAACTCTTCACATCTTAATTTTTCTTCTGTTCAGACAAGTGTGTGTTTGGCACTGTCATGTAACCTGGGTCATACCTGGCAGTTTACAGAAAATACAGGGTTGCTACAAACCCAGCGGTTTTATTGGTACAAAAAGAGGCCACTCCATAAAGTGTACGTAAATTGGGTTACCTGCAGTGTTGAGCTACTTTACAGATGTAAATTATGTAAATGTAAGCTTGTAATGTCAATATTTTTGAAAATATGTGTACAGATGTAAACTATTACATCTCAATTTTAGACTAAGTGTGATGTGACACCTTTGGCACTTACAGATAACAGTGTGTGGACAACTGTGGATTTCTTTGGCTCCAGAAGGAACGTGCTGTAAATCTAATACAGGTGTGTTTTCTTTGCAGATAATTTACTGTTTGTGATCAACTCCATTAAACAAGAAATAGTGAATCGGGTGCAGGTACCTAAAGATGATAGAGGAGTCGACATGGAACAAACGTTGAACGTCCTTATCAAAGACACCCTTGGTAAGCAGGGAGCATAACGTACTCGCACATACGCGAGGAGACATATAATCTGTGGTATGTTACCTTGCAAACAATTCCCATAATAGAGAAGAGAAGGAAGTGCTTCCTGATTTTTGGTTGTCTGTGCCTTTTGGTTGGTTAGTAACCAAAGTGTTCGTTGGCTCTGCGTCGCTTACAGAATGTACAGGTATGTGCAATGAATAGTAACCCTACAGCATGTTTTCTTACCCTCCGTTTTAGGACTGCCTGTAGCTGGACAGACATCGGAATTTGTTAATCAAGTTTTAGAGAAGACTGCAGAAGGAGACCCTACCGGTGGCCTTGTAGGGCTACGAATACCAATGTCAAAAGTTTAAGACACGGCTTCAGCTCTTCTCATCGGTCAGATTCTACCTGTGCTGTCAAGTACTTCATTGTAAATTCCATTCTGGTCTGCATGTCAGTTTAGCAGTGTGTAAGCACTTACCATTAGGTTCCATTGTTTTTAAATAACAATGTAGTACAACAAATCAAAGCATGATACAAAATGCTGAATTGCATTTTTGGAGCATAAACCAGATAGTTTCAAAGCTGCTTTAAGCTTAAATACAGAGATGAGGATTCTTTTTAACTTTTAAGTTACTTAGGACCAGAATATATCACTCTTGTTTTAGAAGCAAAAACGTTGTTTTGCTAGTAAAAAATTTTAGCACATGCCAGACATTTTGACAGGTTTATACTCCAAGTAAAATAAGAGGAAGCGTGTTTTTGATAAAGCTGTCAGTTTAGGGAGTTGTTTTGTTTTGGTTTTTTTAATAATTGGATTTTCTTTGTTCTCAGAAAACAGTAAGCTTGCTTTGCAACCATTAACTTGTACATAGCACACGTGGCACTAGAGCTAGTGTGCCATATAAGACTTTAATTTTCTGAGCTTAATGGAGTATTTAAATGTTTGTGCAAGCAAGAGAAAAAAAAAAAGTATATTCTTTGTGCCTTGTATTTTGGGGGGAGAGCTATCAGTATAAGCTGGTAAAGTTTTGTATGAAGAACCCTGAGGGGAAAAACCGCGATGTATAGATGGTAAGATTATAGATTTTAATGTATTTGTTCCAGCTCTTAAAATTTTTGAATGTATATAGGAATATGTTGAAAATGTAGATATATGCCACAGAGTCTATGTATTGTATAAAAGATGGCTCTAGAAAACTCAATTTCGGTACTTTGGCCGGAAGAAAACAAATACTTGCACATTAATGCGATTGTTTATTTTTGTACCAAAGACAAATGCAACTGATATGGCAAACTGCCAGTCTAAGTAAAGTTTTGCACAGCTTATATGATACTGTACTGAATGTAAAAACAAATGAAAAAAAGAAAAAAAATTAAAGGTCAGGGTTAGGGATCTTACTGAACTGTGAATTTTTTTGTTTGGGTCCAATTATCTACAGAAGGAGCATTCATACATAACAATATTATTTTGCTGTTCTTGTAGTTCGCTTCCATGGTAGATAAGTTGGTGGCCGTCTCGGAGTCTTTAAATCTTTTTTCTCTGCACTTACTCTAGGAGATTTTAATATATTTGGATTTTAGTAAGCTATTGGTAAAATAGTTTTCAACTTTGAGACTTTAAAAAAAAAAAAACTATTTAGCTTGTTGTAGTATACTTCCACCAAACAACCAAAATAAAATTATTTTTATTGTAATGTGTATATATGTAAAGAGAAAAAGGAGCTACAGATACCTAATTCCTTAGTTGCCACTTTTCCAGTTGATGTATTATTATGCATGTGATGTTTCCAAGGATCAACACAGGCTTCAAACAAAACAAATTTATAGACTTTTATATTTTTGTACAGGTATTTCGAAACTAGCTTCTTCAAACTTATATGTGACTTATTCTTGTTAATTGAGTAGTTTCTATGATCGAGGAATATTAACACACAGATCTTTGCTCCTCTGGTAATAAGAGTTGGCTTTGTAGTCAGTGTTAACGTACAGATTAAAAGCTTTAGCCTTTGATGAGAAAGACCTTTATCTCAAGGCAAGATCATTCTCTGGTTTCATGGCCCCCCCCCCTCCCCCTTTTCCTCCTGTTCTTTCTCTCCCTATTTAAAGATGACAAAACACTGTTTACTGAAAATAGAAATACCAAATATTTTCAAATGTAGCTGCTGAAAAAAAAAAAATGCAAAAGTCCATGAAGGCTTTCTCCCCACTCCCTTTGGGGGAACTTCTCCACTTCATTTCTAGTTTGTCTAAGTTTGTTTGTACTGTGATTCCTTTTTGTTTATAAGGAGATTATTTTTATATCCAAGCTTGTGCTATAAAAACCAGTCTGAACCGGAAATAGCGCAGGAAGAGTGGCCGGCGAAGGTGGCAGCCCTGCCGCTGCTTGTGCGTGTGCACACCGCTTACGTTGTACCTAAATATTCCGGGGGACTCGGAAGGGAGGAGGAGGCCAAAATACCACTACTGAGCTGTGCAGAAAGTCTTTCCTGCGAGAGACTGAAGAAATAAATACCCAGGGCAATATAGGCAAAACTTTGTAAATCCACTGAAGACTTGCAAAATCTGAGTGGAACGTGGGTGTGTTTGTTGTTGTTAGGTGAGAGTTGGCTGCTGCTTTACACAGTGGGTCAGATGTACTCCCGTTGTAATGACTGCCGATTGCAGTTACTCCAGAGGTGCGTATGGCCCGTAAAACCCCGACAAAGAATGTCTCTTGTGGCCATGTCTGTACCAAGATTTGATGTACTGTCGTTCCTTTCTGACGAACGGTGTCGACGTGTCGCTGAGTGGCGAGAGGCCCTTGTGCCGTATCCAAACCCTGCGCGCAGGGCAGCATCCCCGAACATCGAGAGAGCAGTTTTGCGATTAGGTGAAAACTTCTCCGAGAAATTAAACTGACAAGGTATTAAAAAGCCCCTTTTTCACTGCTCAGAAGTACTGAGCAAAGATAACTCTATAGCTTTTTATTTGTGTCTGAAAACCAGAATATGATTTTGGTCTGGCATTTCAACGTAGACTTTGAATCTTTAGTGAATTCCATACCCTTGCATTTCAGTGTTTTCTATGTATTATTTTAAGTTAAAGCTTTTAAATAGTTGAGCTTTTTAATGTTGACACTTTATTTTGTACCTATTTATATGTATGTATATCTTAGACAAGCACTTTGTTTAAAAAAAAAAAGAAAGAAAAAAAGAAAGAAAAAAAAAAAAACTGCGTTTTATATGATTCCTGCCACTTGCTGCTAACTCTGGGCTGGTCAGAATGCTGCAGCGATACTTGATATAAATAAAACCTGGCAGTAAAATGTAGAGTAAAGAGTAAGACCTTTTGCTGGTTTAACTTTATCATAAAGGTGACATAGGCAAGCTGTGCAGCTTTACATTTTAACCAGGGGACTCTGTGGCATTTAAACCGTCTAGAAATGGTTGTACTTTAATGCCAGTAACAATCTGCTTCCTCTAGTGTCATTAAAATATATACATTTAGTGTCTACTTATCACAAACAGAAATCTTATAAGGGTATAAAAACCAACAAATGTACATGTTCTGTTCTTGGCAATTGTGGCATGCATTTTTGGATGATCTTTAGAGAAGACCATTTTCTAAAGATTTTCAGTGTTCATACATGGTTATGTGGATCTTAATGAAGTCCTGGATCATTTTTGTTTGAGTGTAGGCATTGTGAATATTCACTTTTAATCCTATATCCAAAAACAATTACACTTTTTTTTGATTTAATACAAACAGAAGCTCTTCCTTTATCTGATACACTGGATTCTCTAGGATTTGTTTCCGTTTGAAAAGCATGCTGTCATAACTGCTCTTGTTGAGATCTCGTCAGTCTGAACTCCGGTGCCACACTTTGAATCGATGGACTGCTTGTTCTGCTGTACCATGTATGATTCTCGTCCTTTCCCACTTCCTTCATGGCAGATGATGATGTGGCTTTATATTGTGCCTTACTTGTACACCTAGAACTACGTGTGTTTCATTCCCTCTGAACTCTTCAAACCTAACCCTTCTGAATGAAATTGAATCAGAACTGATACAAGCATCCTGAAGAAAGTCTGGATAGGTCTGATTTCAGTTTCTCTCAGCAGTAGTCCTTTTGTATTTATATGGAAGACCAGTTTTTGAATGGCCTTGCAAAATGTGGGGGTGCTCGTGAAGGGTGTTTTTTTTAGCCCTAAACCCCTTTTGCTAACGCTTCCTTTTATGGTGTGTTGGACACGTTTACTGATACTTGGCGAGTACTTTTGGGTTTTGGATGAGAGAGACTTACTACTAAAGCTATGTTTACGTGTGGATGGGCTGGATTTTCTTATCATACCAATTGAAATCATTGTGATTTAACAAAGTTGCGTTGCTGTAAAGCTGATGTGAGAGTCGGACTCAGCTGTGTCCAGTTCCTAATTCTTTATAGACAGACTTTTTTCCATACTAAGAGGGCCAGGAAAAAAGGGTTTGTGTGGGTTTTGTTCCTCTGTTTGTTTGTTTTTAAACAAACAAAAACCTACAGTGGATGAAGGGTCTTTTAACTAACCTAAAAGCAACCAGACACTTTTGAAATACAACGGTGTCAGTTTTGATTTTATTTTAAAAAGATCCCTCACATCAATATTTATCTGGTATTTGCCTTCATTAATAAAACAGTTAGCTTAGTCACAAAATATAAAGACTGGATGTGCTTTTCTTTTCCATAAATCGTTTAAACATAGCTATTTTTTTAACACTCTAAAAGGCTTTATCAGGAAAATTTCAAAGGGTTGTATACAAGTTGCCTTCAGCAGAAATAGCAAATGCAATTCTGTTCCTCAAACGTGCTTGCTAGTCTTCCTGAAATTCTGTTGAGGCGTAACCCAGTTACGTACCGTGAACGTTGGGATCTGTATTTGGCCTTGAGACCTGAATTTCAAGAATGCATCTAATGATGATTTTATTTTCTTTTTAAGTTGGAGGCTTCAGTTGGATTCGTGTAGTTAAGTGTGCTGCTAGATGTGGTCTTGGCTTATTGACACAGCCTTGCACACAGCTGAGGTTTATTTTGTTTACCCCAGGGATCGTGTGAAGTACATTTCAAACAGTTACTGCTTTGGTGACTGATTCTTCGTGTAACTGTATTAAGGGCATTAGTATGTTGAGAAAACACCACTCTTGACTATTTCCCAATATAAATTGGGATTCTTAAATGTCGTTGACGAAAGATGGCACTTTTAGGTTATATCTTCTTTGCAGCATACAAAAATGTCTCTGTCTTTCTACAATTTACATTTCACAATATGCCATGTTTTCTCCCCCAATGCTTCTAGCATGATAAGGAGGTGTGTGTGCGCACTGAATTACAATCCTCAGCCTCTTAGACATTCAT